AAACAGCTGACCAGAATACATTTTGTATGTTGTCTATCTTATATATTATATTCTTATAATAAAGCAAGCTAGAGAAAAGAAAATGGTATTAAGAAAATCATAAGGAAGAGAAAATACATGTACAGAACTGTACTGTATTTATCAAAAAAAAAAAAAAAATCTGCATAGAAGTGGACCTGTGCAGTTCAAACCCATGTTGTTCGAGGATTGACAGTATTTACCATTTTGGAACTCACTCCTTTTTGAAACAAAAATGAACAAACAGATTCAGAAGCTATTTAGTAATTTTTCCTGAGGCCTTTCCTATGTTGAATTTATCTAAATTTCTTAAATGAAAGACTTCAAACTTATAAAAATTCAAATAAAGTGTAAAATCAACAGCTAGATCACACTGACAGTATGAAAGTAAACACCAAATGCCTTACCAAGCATCTAAGTGAGACCTGAGAAAGCTAAATTTAAATGCCACTGAAATGGGTCATTTGGAAGAAGCCTCAAAATAACATCAACCCTTAAGGCAAAAAGGTCATTAACTCAAATTTAAAATACTAAAAAGTGGGAGTTTTAAATATACCTCCGCAAAGGATAGAATAGATACCTTATTCAAATTTTTACTCTCTATTTTCTCCTACCCACTTAATATAGTAAAAATGTACAAAATACTAATTTTGGGGTGGTCCATATCACATCTCAGAGTAAGTTTTCTGACCCATACCTGTAAAAAGGCTCATCTTATTTATCAAACTGTCTTTGCTTTCTTCTTCCACCCCAAATTGGCTTCCTTAAGGCCCAGGAATCCAGCAGTGCCAAAGCAAATACAATTGAAGCTATGGCCCACTGGAACTTCTGATTCATTTGATCACATTAAGAGAATAGTCTCTTGAGGCACTTGACCAGCCTAGATCGTCCTTAAGCCTTTTTCTCTGCTCAGCTTGCTGTGCCTGCCCTGCTGTGGGGCCCACACCATCTGCTCTCCAAGCTTCCATTTGATGGGCCATCATAACCCCCTCCACTTCTTGCGGGGCAAAGCATCACTTAGACACATGAGGGTTAAAAACCCATACAGACGGGGCACCCAGATGGCTCAGTCAGTTAAGCATCTGCCTTCGGCTCAGGTCATGATCTCAGAGTCCTGGGATGAAGCCCCGAGTCAGGCTCCCTGATCAGCGGGGAGTCTGCTTCTCCCTCTCCCTCTGCCTCTCCCGCCACTGGTGTCTCTCTCTCTCGTGGTCCCTCACTCTCTCTCAAATAAATGAAGTCTTTGAAAAAAAAAAATGAAAAAAACCCCATACAGAAATGATAAAAAGCTCCAGTATTCATGAGGTTAAAATGACTCGTCTCCAAATACCATAAGTTAGGCCCACCTATGTATGCATTAAGTTTTACATATGTGCTTGAGAGAGTCAAGTCTTCACTATAATTAGGGCCAGTAAAATATCATCCTAGACACTGAGGTCATAAAAGGAAGCCTCTGGCCATCTAAGGTAAATCTTCCAGCCTCAAGCACCTACAGGGACATAGCAGGTAACAAACGTGTATAAGAAAGCCAGGTAGGTATTCACATTTCAATTTTTTTTAAAACATCACCCTGGTGGCTTTCTGTGACTCTTGCTCTAAGGGGATGTATACAGCTGAGATTAGAGAAAGGACATTTAATGAAAGTGCAATATTCCCCAGCAGAAAAAAATGTGAATCCAGAGCTACAGGTAGGAGACAGTTAAGTTTGATGGTTCTACAATTAAAAAAAGACATATACCCAGAAAAGGGTGAGCTAAATCTTGATAGAGCATCTGAAGGTTTATAAAGGCAAACAGGAGAAATGTGAGGCAAAAAGTCCATAAGGTCATTCCCAGTGGGAAAGATTTTCAAACTCTGGATGCCAGGGAGGATGTTGTCATCATGGCCTTTACTGGAGCAAAGAAAGGGCACATCCAAGGTGCTGGGCTCATAAAGTCATGAGGCTAGAAAAGACCAAGGGTTTTTTATTCTGAGATGTTTATCCATCTACCATTTAATAGGGAACATGGTAAAATGACACACACTCCTGCCTTGTAATACCAACCACTAAGTCACTTCATCTTCCTAGGCCTCAGTTACTTCAGCTGTTAAGGGAGGGAGGTGAACCGGATGATTTCTGAGTTCCTGCCCAGCTTTTAAAAAAAGATCATGTCTGTGAAAAATGCTTGTAGGCTTATGCGTTCAGTAACCCACTCCTTTCTAATATGCCACTTTCCCTTTGTGTATTCTGAAACAACTATTACAGCTACACTAACACTGTAAATTGCACAATTACTGGCTTGAAGTAGCACAGTATTTCTTATTATCTCTGTGATGATGGGGATCATGGCACCTACGGAGATAATAAAAATGAAGTGCAAAATAAAGATCAATCTTTAACATATTCCTCATAGCAAAGAAAAGACACTGTATGAAACTGTTTCTGCTCTTTTCCTCCCACACTGCTAGACTGATTTGAGTGAAAAGAAGGCCAGATCAAGAACTGCTTACACAGTAGGAAGCTCAGGCTGGAAATGTGTTTGTACCACTATGGGCTGTGTGGTCCAGAGGGAAGCACAGTGGGCTAGATTTGGATTCTAGACTGAACCCTTCTGGTCACCATATAACTCTGGGCAAGATATTTAGCTTTTCCTAAATCCGTTGTCTGTTTACAAAACAGCAATAACTCTACATGTTTCTTCTACCTCAGAAATGTGCTAAGTATAGAAATAAGTGTGTGAAAAATTTGAGTTCTAGGGAGGAAATGTATTATAGGCAATAATGGAGCATGTTAATGACAGAGAGCACTGATTTAACAATTTTTTAAAACTCACTACCATAATTAGATCAAAGCAAGCAGGACAGAGTCACTCAACTAGAGTCAAAAACTGGGTCAAGTAGAAGCAATGAAGACTTTGACAGAGCAGCACAGATGCACAAAGCCTCAGTCTCCCCAGTGGACCGACCTCGGCTAGACTGGGCATGAGAGGCACAGACCTGGCTTATAGACTCCTGGTTTGTGAACAAATACATTTTCTATCTACGTGCATTTTTTCATTTCTCCCTCCCTCCCTTCTCTTCCTCTTTGCTGTGCCCCTTCCTTCCAGACATCAAAAATTCTGCCCTGAGGGCTTATGTGGACATAGCCCTCAAGATGCTTCTGAACCTAGTTATTTAAACAAATGACTAAAGTTTCATAATCAATAAATGTGACTAAGGGAGCATCTGTTCTCTGCAGGTGTCAAGGTCTTTGCTCACAGCATTGCCACTGGCTATTCTCGAAGAGGCTCGGGCAGGGAGGCAGAGAACAAAGCGCAGGGTTGCCCAGGCCTGCACTGACCGGTAGGTATGCCAGCCAGTCAGGGGGCCGCTCCCACCTCTTTCTTAAGTGTTCTCTTTTATATATTTGTCCTTCTCCCTCAAGCTTCCTTTGTTTTTCTAATTGGCAAGGAAGGAGGGAGAGCCATGTACTGAGTGCTAATCATAGTAAATATTTTTCATTTACTATCTCATTAAGCCTAAATATTTATTTCTTACAAATATAATCCTGTAATAGGGGACAGAAGACAGATGAGTAGAGGCCAAAGGACCAGTTGGGAGGATGTGAACAAGGCAAGAGGAAGAGGGCCTAAATTAAGACAAACTATATTAGAACTGTTTCTATGTGGAAAGACATTTCTATTCTGAAATGGTCATATTAGAAAATTCTTTTGGAATAAAAGTTAGGTTCTATCCAAGTGTAAATAAGGTAAAAAAAGATTTCAAATCATGGAATATAGCCACCCATGATGCCAAATCAACTATTCCCCCCCATGTATATCTGTAACAATGGTAAGAATTACAGCTTTACTTTTTGAGTGTGTCTCAAGCCCAAACATTGTGCTAGGTGCTTTACAAACATTTAAGGCCCCAGTGACAAGGAGGGCATTATTATACCTACTTTCAAAAGGAAGAAACTAAGACTCTGGAAAGTTAACTAACATATCCAGCGTCATATAAGCGGTAAGGGATAAAGGCAGGACCCAAACACTGGTCTGTCTGCCTCCAGAGTCTGTCCTTATTAGATTATGCTATGCTGTCTCCATGTTTATCTTTTTAAGTTTTTGCTTGCATTCCTTTTTACTTCTAGGAATGCTGATTGAGGGGAAAAGGAAGCAAGAGGAAGAGCATCAGCATGCGGGGGAGGGGCACATAAGGCATGTGAGAAGGAAGAAGAGAAAACCATATCACTTCTCATACCATGGTCCTGGCTTTAGAAGGAAATAGATACTACAGCTGTTGCACTGAATTAATGCATTTACTTTATGTTCTTTGCTGTTGCCGTAAGACAGACCACTAAGAGGGAAGAAGGACATGGGAGCTGCTGCCCCCAAGGGACCCAAGTGTAGCACCATTGATTGCTTAGCCCTTCTGACCATGGAAAGGGCTGACCAGGATGCCCATGGCCAGCACTTACTGCTCATGTTGGGGCAAGCTGGATCTCTCTCTACCTTGGCCTGTAGGTGCCATGTCTCTGCAGCCTGTTCACATCTCCTGATCCGTCTTTTTCTTTGTCTCTTGCCCCCCTTATTCTGATGACCACAGTCCAAGCAAACAGCAGTAGGGATGGGACTCACTCATCTGGATTACATTAGCTGCTTGTATTATGCTATTTACATTTATGAAATATGGTATCGCGAGACCACATTTAGTAAAACTTTTTCTTAAAAATACTTTTATTCTCTAATCCACTTTTTATTGGTTAGAAGCAAAACAAAATGGATCATATATTTAAAAGCAGAGGGAAGAAAAAAGACATACCATTCTAGAAATGTCTAGCAAGCAAATACCCCAAGAATATTTATCCAAGTGGTTACTCTGGGATATCTGAAGGGAAATGTGAAAGCAATTTTCTTGGCTATCATCACTTTAATATGAAATGTAAACCCCAAATACAACCTCAGGCACATTCCTTTAATTTGGGGAAAGTAGTCGTGCTTAGGGAGCATGGACAAAGCTCTTACCCGGCAAGACCATGGTCTGCGGAGCCGCTGCATCTGTACTCAAGCAGAGACGTCCACCTTTGGCTAATCTATCACAGAGCAAGGTGATATGTTTCTTCAGTCGGCTTGTGTCTTTGGGTATGTTCAGCTGGCTGCTGAGGTTCAAAGCCTGCTCCTTCGAACTCTTTGATAGGCAAGTCTTCAAGAGGTGGGAAATGGCAGCATCCACTGTTTCTTCCCAGCCCTGGATGCAAAAACCAATTTTGAATTTACCCAAAGATGAAAAATGAGCAAAGGAGGCACTTGACTGTTAACCAGGTTATAAGATGGCGTGTTTATATCCAGTGTTGGAGGCCTTTCGAGAATTTGCTTTCTGGACTATTTCATAATAGTCTGGTTTCAAACTCTAGCTCTGTCAGCTGTTTGACCTTGAGCAAGTTACTTAATTCCTCTTAGCCTCATCCTTATCTACAAATGAGGATACTAAGAGTCTGCAGCTCCAAAGGCTGAGGTGATTGACTGAGATGATATAGGAAAATCATTTAGCCCTGTGCCAGACATAAGTCATAAATAACAATAACAATAATCATCTCAGGTATATTTGATGATCTGGATCCTGAAACTGCCAGGATTATACTTCATTTGTTTTATCTTTCTGCTCAAGGAGAACTGGCCAGCACAGAAAGGACCTTTTGAGATCTTGGGGGAAACTGGAATGAAGAGAAAACCCCGGTGTCTCTCTCAGCTACTGGTCCCACAGCCTTGGGGTTGCAGGCAGAAACCAGAGGAGCTTATTTCAAGAGGAATTTTGTGACACATAGCCTCTCCAGTCCCACTTCACTGCCCAGGTGATAAAAAATGACACAAAATGAGGAAGTGGGCTATAAACCCCACTTTTGCTGGGACTAGTATGGCTGTGCTACAGTGAAGACCTCGAGAAGTGCAGTGTCACCTTACCACCGTGAAGGCTGCAATCCTAGGAATACCAATGCTGGGCAGGGACCTCGTCATCATCATAGAGGGTACCAGCACCAGCAGGACTGGCATGAGGAGGCTCCACCCTCAGGTGGGTTCAGATAATAACAGAGCAAGAAGCAGGAGGAGTCAGCCCATGAGCTCCCATTGGGCATGGCCAGGCAGTCCTAGAGATAGCTGGGAAAGATTTTTATAGAGGTCCAGAGGTCCTAAGCAGCACAATAGGCAAGCCTAAGTGAAATCTGGGTATTGTTGCCAGTGTGAATCCATTTGTACCCAGAGGTTGGCAAAACCTAGAGCACCATGGGCCTGACAATCAAAATGAAACTATAAAGGAAGACACTGAATGAATTTATTTGCATAGAATGCTACAGAATAGTCCAAGCCCTTTATATAAGAGGTAAGAAACCTGAGACTCAGATGGAACCCCTGGGAAGCCTACAGTTAGCACCGCTCCATCCTCAACCTTAACAGCTAAGCCACCTTTCAAATACCCAAATTGGATTAGGTTACTTCTCACCCTGTGCTGTAGTGGCTGGCTGCATGTTTAGTTTCCCCATGAGAGTGCCCGGAGTTCTCTGCACCCCGAGCACTACGCTTGATAAACAGAGGGTGATCAAGAAATGTGTTAGCTGGACAGAGAGATGGTAAGACATAGAACTAGGCTGGGAGGACTTTACAGATCCAGTCTTGTGGGATTTTCCTAGGACCCTGTTTGCAATAGCAACCATCTGCCTAAGCATGGTTGTCTTCACAGTCCAAAATTACTACTTTTGGAGGCAGTTCACTCCTTCCAGGGACATGTGTAACCAGTAGAAAGCTATTCTTATAGTGAGCCAAAATCTGCCCCGTTGGCCCTGAGTCTATCCTCCAGAGCCATGCACAATAAATCTAACCTCTCTTCTACATAATAGCCCTTTCTATCTGTGAAGACAGCAATTCTGTACCCTCTCCTCCAGAATAAATGACCTCAGTTCCTCCAGCTCTTCCCTATATAAACATGGTTTCAAGTTTTCTCTCCGTCCTGACCACTTGTATTTGAATGAGCTCCAAATTTAAACAATTAAAAATTTATACAGCTAACGAGAGAACCCCAAACTGACCCCCAAGACACCAGGCTGGGGTTGGGAGTGCAGGGTAGGAGAGAGCCATCCCTCCCATTTACTGGGAATTCTCCCTGCCAGCCAGGTCTTTGGTTGCCTCTGATCTCTTGACAGCTGCCTCAACTCTTGATTCACAGTGAGCAACCAGACGATTAAACTCTAGACCTTTTCCATACTTGCCACATGTCTTCCTTCTGCGCTTATGGAGTTGGTTCTTTAGACCTAAGTGTGAACTCTCTATATGTCCACTGGAGAATTTCCCATTAATTGCCAAAATTAAGGGTTTTTACCCTACGGAGGCATTATAGATACCACTGGCTAAATTAGGATACAAATTAATTACAACAATCTTGAAAATCCTTTCAGGAGATGTCAAAGACTGTGAAAAGAGCTTCCTACCCCAAACCACTGAAGGATAATAAACCATTAATTACCACAAAGACTCTATACAACAATCCAAATCTAAACTAGACCAATACCTAAAATTGAATTTGTATTTCAAGATAATAGGTTTAAGACAAAATAGTAAACCAGGTGAACCAGAGAACATATTTTTAAGTTGTTTTTGGAGCCACTGACAAAGAACTCCGGAGTATAAGAAGGAAAGATCCTTTGTATATAATTTGGCATTTGTGTGCTCTGTGGTCATTTCAGCATTAAAACAGTTCCTACTATTTTACAGACTATTTGTTTAAGCAAACTACTGTTTTCATAAGTAGATTACAGTAGCATATTAGATAATTTAAGTAGATATGGCATTTAGTTAACATAGAAGTACTATGAATTTCCTCTCTTATTGCCAACTTGCAGATCAAGTCAAAACCATGTCATAGTTGGCATGGATATTTCTTTAATATAATAAGGCATAATGCCAATACTTCAGAAGGATTGCTACTAAAATACAGGATTATTATTTAGAAGGACTATATTGCTACATAAACTCAAATATGATAATAAAAGGAATGCTATGAGACAAATGAAGAGCCTCTGAAATGAGAGTTTTGTTAAATAAAAATGCAATGTGATAATTTACTGATCAAACACATAGCATAATTACCTCACAAAATGTGAGACAAAAATATGTGGAAATGTAGAATCTTCAAGTATGAGAAGCACGTTAAAGATAAGCTATTTTAACCATCTTTTTAGTGTTTGAATCCACCACCTTTATTTACAGCTCTTAAATGGACAAGTTTAATGTTCAGTTTTAATGTCTATATACACACACACACACACACCATGCATATACCTAACCTTTATCCTTTACAGCTGAGTATCAATTGTACTAATAATTTTGCCTCTTCTAATTGTAAGAGTAGAAGAAAATCTTAATTTGCGGAAAACTGTGCTAAAAGTGTCTGGAAGGGGAGAAAATACTAAGCATGTACTCTTCAGTAAGAACTGATTTGATTTTAGTTTTCAAATCCCAGCTATCTCATGTGTGGCTTTTAGAAAACAACAGCAGGTAGGAAGTTAAATAAAAAATGTGTGAATCAATCAATCAATTTAAGGGGCACCTGGGTGGCTCAGTCAGTTAAGCATCTGCCTTTGGCTCAGGTCATGGTCTCAGGGCCCTGGGATCGAGCCCCAAGTCAGACTCCCTGCTCAGTGGGGAGTCTGCTTCTATCTCTCCCTCTCCCCCTTCCCCCCTGCTCATGCTCAGGCCCTCTCTCTCTCTCTCAAATAAATAAAATCTTATAAATTTTTTTTAAATAAATTTAAATGTACATGTTACTCTGTTTTATCTTCTTTATAACCCCTGTCAGTTAGAAATTAATATATTTATTAGGTTTTTGGTGCTTGCTTCATCTAGTTTAGTATTGATAATTAGGGTTTTCCTTTGTTCCCAAGGTCTCAGCTCAACGCCATGTGGTAAGTTCACTTTTGTCTTAGCCCTTTCTACCTGAGCCCCTACACTGGGAGCCTGCTTACAATGTCACTCCTTGATGGACTGGGGCTGCCTTGCTTCTGCCAAATGCCCTCCAAGGAACCGGACCCAACAGGTGTGACCCTGCTGCTCGACTTCGCTATATGCCAAGTTGCCTGCTGCACGCATCCCCCAACAAGACTTTCCAGTTCTTAGCTTTCATGTTTCGCCTGCCTGCGTGGAGGCTGCTATACACCAAGCTGGTCCCAGATGCCTCTCTATACCAGAGTGATGTCTCATTTCTACGAGCCAGCTTTTTAAATTCAAGGCATTGGCCTCTCCTATCTGTTTCTCCTCCTGACTGAAGTCAGTCCACTGAGCTATGCTTTTTGCTATCCAGAGAGCAGGCAGCCGTGGCTGAGTTTCTGACTTCTGCTCTACCTGCCCTGCTACTCTGTACTGGTCACTATGCCTAAATACCAGCACAAGAAAGTGGCTTATGAGAAACAGTGAGAAGCAGCAAGTTTGACCACATTTGTAAAGTTTATTTCCTAGCATATCAACCAAAGTAACCCAAAGAAAAAAGTAAACCAGAAGAGTATTCTCAGACCACCTATGCATTAAAACAACCTAGTTGAAGACAGCTGCCCCTAGGATAGTAGGTTCTGACTTAACCTCATTCACCTCAACTGTGCCTTCACTGTATGATCTCAGATAAATCACTTAATCTCTGCGGGCTACATCTCAGGTCTCCATAGAAAGGAATAACACTTTTTGCCATGCCAATGTGAATGGTAAGGCACTCTGAAATCTTAAGTGGAAGATACTATGAAAAAAAGCACATATATTCAATCCTACTTCAAAAAAAATTAGAAAATACAAATACACCATTGAAATCCAAAGTGCAAAGTAACATCTTTAAACTGTTATTCAAATTATAAATTCTACGACTTTATGATTACAATGGAACCACTACCACATTCTTAACTATAGTAGTATAGGGGGGAAAAAAACACAAAATGCCATTACCAACTATGCACCTGATCAGTTCTAAGGGAGAAAGGAAAGGTAAAAGAGGAGATCTGTCTAAAGCAGTAAATGGAGATTATGTAGCCATTGTCCAGGTTTCAGTTGAGGGGAGAAAACTCTCAGAAATATCTTACATTATATATTTGAAGGTAAAATAACCTTTACATCATATTCATTTATCTGAAAAATAAAACTGTATCAAAGAGGAATAAATTTCCTCCTGAACAGATGTAAAGGATTCACAATGAGAAGTCTTTGGTATTTATGATT